AGTTCAGTCGCTCAGTCGTGTCTGACTCTTTGTGACCCCATGGACTGCAGCATGCCAGGCTTCCCTGTCCATCACAAACTCCTGGAGCTTACTCAGACTCATGTCCATCAAGTCAGTGATGCCATCCAACCATCTCATCCTCTATTATCCCCTTCTCTTCCTGCCCTCAATCTTTCCCAGCATCAGGGTCTTTTCCAATGAGTCAGTTCTTGGCATCAGGTGGCCAAAGTATTGAAGTTTCAGCTTCAGCATCAGTCCTTCCAATCAATATTCAGGACTGATTTCCTTTAGGATGGACTGGTTGGATCGCCTTGCAGTCCAAGGGACTCTCAAGAGTCTTCTCCAACACCACAGTTCAAAAACATCAATTCTTCGGCACTCAGCTTTCTTTATAGTCTAACTCTCACATCCATACATGACTACTGGAAAAACCATAGCTTTGACTAGGTGGACCTTTGTTGGCAAAGTAATGTCTCTGATTTTTAATATGCTGTCTAGGTTTGTCATAGCTTTTCTTCCAAGGAGAAAATTTCTGCAGTCACTATCTGCAGTGATTCTGGAGCCCCCCAAAAGAAAATCTGTCACTGTTTCCATTGTTTCCCCATCTATTTGCCATGAAGTGATGGGACTGGATGCCATGATCTTAGTTTTCTGAATGTTGAGTTTTAAGCCAACTTTTTCACTTTCCTCTTTCACTTTCATCAAGAGGCTCTTTAGTTCTTCACTTTCTGCCATAAGGGTGGTGTCATCTGCATATCTGAGGTTATTTGTATTTTTCCCAGCAATCTTGATTCCAGCTTGTTCTTCATCCAGCCTAGCAGTTCTCATGATGTACTGCTCACATAAGTTAAATAAGCAGGGTGACAATATACAGCCTTGACGTACTCTTTTCCCGATTTGGGACCAGTCTATTGTTCCATGTCCAGTTCCAACAGTTGCTTCTTGACCTGCATACAGATTTCTTAGGAGGCAGGTCAGGTGGTCTGGTATTCCCATCTCTTTAAGAATTTTCCACAGTTTTTTGTGACCCACACAGTCAAAGGCTTTGGCATAGTCAGTAAAGCAGAAGTAGATTTTTTTCTGGAATTCTCTTGCTTTTACGATAATCCAATGGGTGTTGGCAATTTGATCTCTGGTTCCTCTGCCTTTTCTAAATCCAGCTTGAACATCTGGAACTTCATTGTTCACATATTGTTAAACCTGGCTTGGAGAATTTTGAGCATTACTTTGCTAGCGTGTGAGATGAGTGCAATTGTGTGGTAGTTTGAACATTCTTTGGCATTGCCTTTCTTTGGGAATGGAATGAAAATTGACCTTTTCCAGTCCTGTGGCCACTGCTGAGTTTTCCAAATTTGCTGGCATATTGAGTGCAGCACTTTCACAGCATCATCTTTTAGGATTTGAAATAGCTCAACTGGAATTCCATCACCTCCACTAGCTTTGTTTAGTGATGCTTCGTAAGGCCCACTTGACTTTGCATTCCAGGATGTCTGGCTCTGGGTGAGTGATCACACCATCATGGTTATCTGGGTCATGAATATCTGGGTCAAGAACTTTTTTGTATAGTTGTTCTGTATATTCTTGCTACCTCTTCTTAATATCTTCTGCTTCTGTTAGGTTCATACAATTTCTGTTCTTTATTGTGCTCATCTTTGCATGAAATGTTCCCTTGGTATCTCTAATTTTCTTGAAGAGATCTTGTGGAGATGAACTTTAACGTCATTTCTTACCACTAAGAGTTTCCAGGGTTCAGAATCCCCAGCTAGACTTTGAGGCCCCAGTAATCTGGGCCCACTCATACCTTTCTAGTTTCTCTCTCATTAGTCCCCCTGTTACTCTGTACTACATGCTGTTGCTTCTGCCATTACCACCCACTGGCTCACACTAGGATTTCTTCTCTATTTCCATCTACTCTAAATATGATTCCATATCCATATCACATAAAGTCTCATAGTCATATGTATGTACTTCACTTCTGGCTTTTAATTCTATTATGCTCTGTGCTTCATGGTTTTCTTAAAAATTTATTTCGTTGCACCAGGTCTTAGTTTGGGCACAAGGCATCTTCGTTGCTGCATATGGAATCCTTGTTGTGGCATGCAGAATCTTTTTTAGTTGTGGTATGCGGGGGGTCTAGTTTCCTGACCAGGGGTCGAACCTGGGCCCCCTGCATCAGGAGCCACTGGACCACCAGGAAAGTCCCACGTCGTAACTTTTTATGTTCTAGTCTTATCTCCTTTACTGCACCACAAGTTCTTGTAAAGCTGGAACCAAGGCTTATTTATCCCCTATATTCCCTGAAGTAGAAGTGTAACAGGATTGATTCGGTTATGCCGTGGTAACAAACAACATTCACGTCTCAAGGGCTGAACACAAGATTTATTTCTCACTCACGCTACATGTCCATCTCAGGTCAGCAGGGGGCTCTGTTCCATGACATCCTCACTGGGATCTATGAGGCCCCTCCAGCTGGAACTGGAAGGGAGCAGGGAGAAGCGGGAGCTCCTGAGCCTCACTGTGGCAATTGATTGCTCCTGCCTGAAAGAGAGGTTTAAGCTCACAACCCATAGGCCAAAATTAGTCACATGGCTCTACTGGGGGTGGAGGGCAAAGAGGAATAATCTTCCCATACAATTAGCAGGGGAGGAGAATCAGAAAAAGAGGAACATGGAGTCTCTACCATAGGAGCTAGTGTATGTCTTGCTTATAATGGGCCACCAATAGACATGTGTTGGAAGAATAAGAAAATGAATGAACCTAGATGTAGTCATCAAAACATAAGAATGCTGACTGTGATAGAATATGCTTCATTTTAAATTCATTTTCATTTTTTACAAGTAGGGGAATGTAAACATATATGAGCATTTTGTTTTTCTCATACACAGATTTATGCCTCTGAAGTATAAATCTGTGTATGGGATATGGATATGTGTTTTCTCTGTGTGTGCATGTAAAGAGGGAAGGATGGTATCAGGGAATTGTAAGCATACACATGCTTTCGAGAGAAGTAGGAACTGTAGTCATCTCATGGAACAACCAGGGAGAAAGAGTGCCCTCACCTGTGTTACAGGAAGATGGATGGTAGTCCCATAGGAGTGACTCAGCTGACCCAACTCCTTTCTCTTAGGAAATAAACCTCTGCATTATTCTCTTTTTTGAAAAGCATACACACACACACACACACACACACACATATATATCTTATAAAAAATTTTTTGGCCTCACTGTGTAGCATGTGGAATCTTAGTTCCCCAGCCAGGGATTGAACCCATGCTCCCTGCATTGGGAGCTCAGAGTCTTAACCATTGGAACACCAGGGGATTCCCCTATGTTGCTCTAATTATAATGAGATGCTAATAGGATATTATGAAATAAATAATATTCTTAGGAGGACCATCCTGAGACTGGCCTTGGGCCTGATGGAGGGAGACGAAAGAAAGTGCTTGACAAGACCCTTTGAGGGAGCAAGTGGACTCAACCATAGGAAGTGACATGGCTCAACAAATGCCAGTGTGTATTCTGTTTGCCTGGGAAAACCATGTTCCCATCAACAGTCTCTCAGTTCATGATCTAGAAACTGCAGCCTCGGTGAATCTCTTCTTTTCTATCTAATATGACCATTATCACCCTAGCAAGGTAAACTTTAAGTCTAGAAAAATAAATGAAACCCATAGCCGTGCTGTTTTTGAAGTGGATTTAAATGTGGGTGTAACTAACTTTTAGAGTCACTGTAACTCTTAGATATGTTTTCATTCAAGAGAATTCTCCATATAAAGTTTGCAGTGTTATTGAAATGCTTAAAAGACCTTTGACTAAATTTGAAGTCAGCCTGTAGATAGCCAAGGAAACTGGTTCATGAAATGTGTAGTTTGGCTTATTAGTTGCGTAATAGTATTTAAATATTTGGGAAAATGTGCTTAATCAATGTAAAAGCGTAGTAACCTGAACATTAAACAAAAGTAAGTAGTGGTTAAGTGTTTTTTCTATGCCAAAAGGCCCTGAGGTGTGAAAGATCCTAGCAACAGACAAGACATGTATTATCCAGTAGATTTAACTGACTGTACCTTGGAGCAAAAAGGCATGAGATCTGGTTATTACTATTGAAAACAAAATCCAAACTAATATGCTTAGCAGGAAAACCCAGTTGGCAGCTGCAGGGGTTGCCTTTTATGATCGTGTCTTTTGACAAGGATTATTGTATTAATATAAGTTGTGGCTTGATCAGGCTTAAATTGTGGGCAAATATTTTTCCATGTTCACTTCTCTAGAATAAGCCCAAGGTCTGTTCCCATAAACCATTTCTGAGGTCAGGTTTTTAAATGAGGGGAACGGAGAGGTGAGGATTTTAGAAAAAGAGTAGGCCAAGCAAGCTGGCCGATTACAGGACTTTTAAGGAAAGGAAAGATTAACATTTGATTTTATGTTGTGTTATGCTAAACTCTTTGATCTCCCCTAAATGTTCCTTAACGTTGCCATATAAACAAACAGACATTTCTGAGGTCTAAACAGTTTCATTTCATAGAGCTATCATGAAAGAACAAGTATTGTCGATGCCTATGTAATATAATTAATGGATATCCCCCATTCTTCTTATTGCCAACAGCCACCAAGGTTCAGCTATTTTCTGGAATAGTCAGTTTGACTTGTCACTTGGCTGGCTGATCTAAGATCCTCTGCGGATTCTCTGAGGACTTATGAGCTAATAAAGCTTAGGGATTTCGTGTCCTGAAGAACTCTTTAATCCCATGCTTCCCGAATCCCACTCTAAGCCAGGGCCTTCTGTCACATCTCAAGAGTTACAGGCCAGTTTGAAAGCTCTGCTAAACAACCTTTCTCCTCGGCCTCTGGGGCGGGGGGGCGGCGGGGTGTCCTGCGAGGTGCCCCCTTAGGGCTTCCCTGGTTTCTTTGGCCAGCATGTATCTCCTTCTTGGCACTCTGCCTCTGGTGGTGTTCTGAGGGTCTCTTCCTTTCTAGACCAGAGCAGCACAGCACGCCACGCCATGGGTGAGATCAGCCAAGAGACGGTGGAGAAATACCTGGAGGACAACCCTCAGTTCGCCAAGGAGTATTTCAACAGGAAGTTGCAGGCGGAGGCGCCCAGCGGCGGGGCACAGGCCCCGGCCAGCGCCTCCTTCCCCGGCCGGACGCTGGCGGAGGAGGCGGCCCTGTACCTGGAGCTACTGGAGGTCTTGCTGGAGGAGGCGGGCAGCGTGGAGCTGGCGGTGCACAGGGCCCTGGGGAGGCTGGCGCAGCTGCTGCAGGCCGACCGCTGCAGCATGTTCTTGTGTCGGGCCCGCAACGGCACGCCGGAGGTGGCCTCCAAGCTGCTCGACGTCACCCCCACCTCCAAGTTTGAGGACAACCTGGTGGTCCCCGACAGAGAAGCTGTGTTTCCGTTGGACGTCGGGATAGTGGGTTGGGTTGCTCACACGAAGAAAACCTTTAATGTTCCAGATGTGAAAAAGGTGAGTGGTCTGATGGTGACCGTGGAGTGGAGAGGAGGTCTTGGTGGCCTCAGGGAGGAACATGGGAAAGAGGGGGCTGTGGGGGTGGAGGTGGGTCCAGGGGCCATCCTTGTGGCTGTGGTTTGGCTATAACCTGGGGAGTGGATGGTGGAGAAGAGGAACCCCCAGGCCAAGAGTGGCTAGATTTAACAAATAAAATGACTACATGCCCAGTTCAATCTGAATTTCAGATAAACAGTGGATAATGTTTTAACGTTATGTCTCCGGTAATGTCGGGCAAGCTTACCTGGGCGCGGGGCAGTCCACACCTCCTCCCTCACACCTCTTCTGTCCTCTGGACACTGTCCTGACCAACAGGGCAAAGCAGGCCACTCACTGGGGAGATCAGCCAACAGGCCAGATGCCAAGGCCCCTGAAATGCTCCCCACGTCTCTCACCCACAATCCTTTGAAGACTCTCAGCTCTTTGGGGTGAACTGGCTCAGGAATGATTCTCTTACCTATAGATCAAGTGTGAAAAAAGAAAAGTGACATGAAATTTCAAATGTTCCCATCTGGATCATAAAAAATACATGAATTTAGATGATGATTAAATGCAGTTGGCCATCTCAACCCCTCCTAATTCAGATCTACCAAGAATTTCCAATCCTGTAAATGGGACATTTGAACCCTCCCGAAGACCAGTTGAACACTACATAAATTATTGTGTTTTAAAAAGAAAACTAACTTGCTTCCAACTAACTTCCTTCCAACTAACTTGCTTGTTCATCTAAGAAAAATTAGAACATACAAATAAGAGGGAGGAAATGCGAATCGCCCATAATCCCTGCACTCAGTAGCACCATAGGTCCCAGCCTGGAGTTTCTCCTGCCAGCCCTTTTCCTACACATGCGTCCTGTCATTTTGCTTTGCTGTTAACAAACAGGAGAGCTAGCAGATGATGGAACAGAACTGACTGGGAGCAGCCCCTGAAACGCTTACTGTGTAGAGGTTTACTTATGGAGAGGGCAGCTGGCGGCTGGAGGATAATCCCCTGCGTGCCTCCCGAAGCTGATTACAGGAGGGGGGCTGTGCGGATCCACAGGAGGTGCAGAGGTTTTCAAACATTAGCAACACTTAGCAAACAGCCCCAGGGGCAAGGGTTGCTGTTAGGCACTCGAGGGTCCTTGGTCTTTACCACCCCTCCCTGCAGTGCATTCGTCTGGTTTCAGTAGGATTCTGGGTCTGCTGCAGCTGCTTCTAGTGTATAAAGCGCCTTAAGGCAAAGTTCTTGGACCCCAGGGAGGAGGCTCTGCCTGTACATCCTGAAGTTTTCTCATGGGAATATGCTTCTTGCAAGTCTCTGACTGAGGCCATTTCCAAAATGACACGGACAGCAAATTTAAGAAAGTGACATGCGAGACTTTTTTTCAGAAGAATTTTTTTTTTTTTAAAGGAGAGATGGATGAAGTGACTTCTGGGGTGTGTGTGTTTGTGTGAGCGTGTGTGCGTGCTCAGTCTTGTCCAACTCTTCGAGACCCCCTGGACTGTAGCCTGCCAGGCTCCTCGGTCCATGGAATTTTCCAGGCAAGAGTACTGGAGGGGTTGCCGTGTCCTCCTCCAGGGGCTGCACTGGCAGGCAGACGCTTTACCACTGCGCCACCTGGCAAGCCCTAATTTCTGCTATGCTCCTTTATTAATGAGCTCAGTCCTGTTGAGGACAGAATGATAGAAAGGAGCTGCTTAAGAGATCAGGGGGCCTGGGTCTGCTGCCGTCCACGATGGGCACCCCATAGTGGTTGTAAAGTGGGGGCAGGGTCACTGTGTTCTCCCTTTTACTGAGTATGTATGAAGACAGATGCCCTCCCGCCCTCCTGAGCTCCCTCCTGAAAAGGGACAAAGACCTCATTTGCCCTCCATTTCTACTGTTTCTGAGCATTTTTTCCCCCTCCAAGAATGGTGCTTTTCAACTCTGGAAGCACATTAAAATCAAACTGGGAGCTCTTTTAAAAATACAGATGTGTGAGACTCTCACTAGACCAATTACATCAGGCTCTCAGAGACTGAGATGCAGCCAGGAGTATGGTTTAAAAGCTACCCCGGTGATTCTAATAGGCAGCCAACATTGAGAACCACTGGTCTTTTGGGTGAAGAGATGCAAGAGGAGGAACTGCATTTTAAATCAACTGTAAACGATTAGATGGAAGGGCTCCTGGGCTTGTTAGTTTAAGTCTTCCCTTGTGCAGACAGGAAATTGAGTCGTGGGGGTTGCGTCTCTCCTGGGGTCCAGAGTCTGATCGGTGATGAGAGGGACTGGAGAAGATGCAGCCTCCTTGCTATGTTCCCACCCTCATCCCACCCTGCAGCCCTGCAGGCTCACCACACTTAAGTTGCTGTGGTAAAATCTGCAGAGAAAGGAGTTAGAAACCCCTGTTTTAAGTGACACTTCTATCACCACTTCACCTTTTCATTGCACTTGACTCTTGATGAAGATTCCTCTTGTTCTTGATCTCACTTGATTCTGGCAAAGACCTTATGCAGAAGGCCAGGACTGTATTTTTATTTCCATCCCGTGCATGTGAGAATCTTCTCCAGGTCAGTTAGGCACAGTGTGGTGGATCTAGGCTCATAATCCGGGTCTTGCAAGGCCACCCTTTTTCTCTGCCACAGCCCTGACCACACACAACTCCTGCCTGGTGGGCATTGTGGGCACAGGGAGGGAAGGCCTCCCTGCACACAGACGGAGAGGAGAACTGGATACTCCCAGCCTTGGCGGCAGAGAAGCCACATGGTGCCAGGTGAGAGCTTTGGCATCAGATGACCTGGGTACAGATCCAGGCCTGAGACTAGGTCACTGCATGAGGGACTGTGTTTCCCCACGAGAGAAATAGAGGAAACCAAATCATAAAGTGCCTGACTCCCAGGAGGTGCTTAATAAATGGCAGCTATGATCATATCATATTAATGTCCAAAGAGTTTGGGGGCTGGATGTAGGTGGCCAAAACCGGGTCAGTGATCACTGCCTGTTTTTAAAACAGGTTAAAGGCAGGGAAACTTAATAACAGGAAACTGTGACATATCCTCATCAAGTTAATCATTTCCTATTCTATTGGGAAAGCTGGTGATTAACTCTATGGGTGGTTCTCCTGGCAGTGGTTTAAAAGAAAGCCATGTGAGAATCCTAAGGTTTTAATAATTAACAGGGTGCTTATAGCTTGCGCTTATAGCTTTCCATCCTTGTCTCCTTCTGACTCTGGATCTCCAGATGTTTGATCAGAATTTAATAGGACTAAGATTGGATGAGGATCCAGGCAGCCCTCTGCTCTAAACATTCCCAGTTGCCTTCATTGACTTCTTTGAAGAAAAATCATTGAGGGGAGTTTGTGAATCCAGAAGATACAGAATTTACTCAAAGAAACTTTACCAAGGATTGTTTGGACCAATGAAAACATAAAACCAGAAAACCTCACCTTACCTACCCTGAAATTTGATGGATGATTTTATCCAAGATTTTCAGATATGATGATAAGCAAGTATTAAGTTTTGAAACTTGTAAGTCATTTTTTCAAAATGTTCAATTGAATGTAAGAACATCTTCGTGTGTTTAGAATCTAGAATAAAATGGCATCAAGTTTTGAAGCTGCAGAGTAAAATGTGTTAGCCAAGAAATGCTGCCCAACTCCATCCCATGGTGCATGTTTTGGGCATTTTGGTTATTCCTTCAGTGCCCTGCATCACTGTGTAAATGAAAGTGATCACCTTCTATAATGGATAATAGGTTAGGAGGACAATGGACAGAAAGCCAGCCTGGGCTATAGCAGTGGATTAAGAGAAAGAAGCTTTCAAAGTCTGGAGGTGTTCCGGACTGAGTGAAGATGCTGCACGAGGCAGAGAAAGTCACAGATACAGCAGTTAGGAAAAAACATGGCTCTTGTTGGCATAGGGCAGAGAGCTAGCCCTCCAGAGCAAGCATCCTTCTAGGCATAGGAGGCCTGCATCAGCTAAGAGCATGTAATTTCTTCAGTGATTGGCATTGATTAGAAAAGCTAGAAGTAGAAGCCAAATGATGGGGCTTTCCTGGTAGCTCAGACGGTAAAGAATCTGCCTACAATGCAGGAGATCCGAGTTTGATCTCTGGGTCAATGAAGAACCCCTGGAGAAGGGAATGGCAACCTATTCCAGTATTCTTACCTGGAGAATTCCATGGACAGAGGAACCTGGCAGGCTGCTAGTCCGTGGAGTCACAAAGAGTCAGACACAACTGAGCAACTAACATCACATCATCATCGGACGCCAAATGGTAATGCAAAACCTGAAGGACTTCTCATCCAGTGAAAGTAAAAGAAATGAAAGTGAAAGTCACTTAGTCATGTCTGACTCTTTGTGACTTCATGGACTATACAGTTCATGGAATTCTCTAGGCCAGAATACTGGAGCCTTTCCCTTTTCCAGGGAATCTTCCCAACCCAGGGATTGAACCCGGATCTCCCGCATTGCAGGTGGATTCTTTACCAGCTGAGTCACAAGGGAAGCCCTGTCATCCAGAGAGGCCCCCAGAGTCCCAGGTTTGGCTTCCTAGTATTTATTGAGCACCTACTATGTGTCAGACTCTTTTCTGAGTGCTCTACCCACACTATATTATACTCTTTTCACATCAGGTATGATAGACAGTAGATAATATCCATTGTTCCCATTTTCAGGTTAAAAAATGAGGCTGCAGAGGGTAAGTAGCATGCCCAGGGGCTCACAGCTAGTGAATCAGGAGCTGGTTTCAGCCGAGGACATCTGACTCGAGAACCTTCTTCACCATTATGCGATGCTGCCTCCTACATGAGTAGGTGGTTTCTGGGGTTCCACTTTGGGAGGGTATAGAAGAAGTCTGGGGTCAAGGGCTGCATCTGACTTCCTTAGCATCTCACATTTCTAAGGATCCTCTATGGAATCAATTCATCCACTAAAAGTGTAGATTCCTGGGGAAGACGGTTTCTACTGTAGGAGATTAGAATTCGGCAGGCTGCCATGAGGTCTGCAGATCTGCATCAGTCTGCAGGTCTTTCTGAGGTTCAGCCCAGGTCTCCTGCTCTGAGCAGGGCTGTGATTCTGTTGCCCAAGCAGTCATTGTGCCCTGGTGGAGATTCTGGCCCCAAAGTCACACACCAGCGGACTCTTCCATTTTTACTTTGGGAAACTGAACAGAGTCCAGCTACTTATAGAAGTCCAGATACTTATAGAAGCACCATCCACATGGGGAAATGAACATAATACAACTTGTGAAAGGAAGACCACATTGATTTTTGGCCATTGAATCTCAAAGTCAGGTGGAAATTTCAGTTGAAGTTTCAAATGAAGAAGACTTAAAGAGGAGCTAGTCATGACCCAGAGAGAGCAGAGTCTATACCCAACCACAGTTACTCTCAATTACAGCTAATAAGATAACTGCCATCCTTATTTGTGTGCCTCTCCAAACTCATCACTCTGCCCTCTACATGGTTAGTGTATTAGAGTCGTCCTTCGCGTCTTCTACTTGAAGCTTGTATCTAGGATGATCCATTTCATTTTCCTCTAGGAAAGAAATAAAAATTACAAATGAGAGATATTGACTTGATAGAAAATGCCCTCCCTAGCAGTTCAGTGGTTAGGACTCTGCACTTCCACTGCAGGGGGCACAGTTTCGATCCCTGGTCTGGGAACTAAGATCCGCATGCCATGCAGTGAGATCTACCTAAATAAATAAAATAAAAATACTTAAAAAAAAAAAAGAAAGAAAATGACCTTGAAAAACTGTTAAATATCTGGTGCTGTCAAGAGGGTGGTAAGAATTTCAACATTTTGTAAAAGTAGCTGGTGTAATTTAAAACTTCATGTACCTGTTGATACTGCAAAAGACATTTCCATTTGGGGACTCCATCACATAAAAATAAAAGCAAGGGTGATTAGTGCAGTATTGTTTGCAGTGGGGAAAACTCTAAACAGACTAAATCAGTAGATATTGGTTGAGCAGAACTGGAGCCCCCACACTGTGGAATAGCATGCAAGAATCTGGAAAACTAGTTCACATCCATATGCACCAGTCTGGAGGGAAGTCCATAAGATAGTGTTAAGTGATGAATTGCATAAAATTAGGAGAGAACATTTTATTAAAAAATAAGAAGATGCTTTGTACAAGCATAGAGAAAGGCATAGAAGGAGACACACTAAGCCTTGTAATACAGATTTCTTCAGGTAGGTGAGATTAGGAGGAGTTTGGGGCAGTTAATAATCTTTTCCTTATGTTATGATGGTTGTGAGATTTCAAGGGCAAATTTTACTTTTGCAATTAAAAAGAAGAGCCCTATGGAATCCCAGCTGTGCTCTCCTTCGAGCACACACTTCCTCCCTGTTATAATCCTGCATGCTTCCCTCCCTTCCCCTTAGAACCTTGCTTTCCAGTTGGTCACAACATCACCTCTTTCCTCCTGGCCCAACCCTAGCCTAACCCGGATAGGCCACACCTCAGGTGGGAAAGCTCATTTGGAAATGGGCCATTTCATTCTATGCTTTATTCATTCTGTCTGCTTGCAGATGGTGGGGTGGGTGGGGACTGTTGGCTTGGGACCATTGTCCTGCAGCCCTGGTCATCTGTTGGTAGGACTTGAACTAGAGAGGATGATCTGTTGCCCTTCCTAGACCTGCACTTCATGGTTTTGTGCTGCTTTGGCAAATGTGTGAATGTATCTTTCAGAACAGCCATTTTTCTGACTTCATGGACAAACAAACCGGGTATGTCACTAGGAACCTGCTGGCAACCCCCATCGTGATGGGCAAGGAGGTTCTTGCTGTGTTTATGGCAGTTAACAAAGTAGATGCATCTGAGTTTTCCAAACAGGATGAAGAGGTAATGCTAACCCTGGGCATCCCTTCAGAGGCTCAGGAAATTTGTTTGTTGTGTAACTGAAAGAAAGATGTCACACCTAATTTGTTTTTCTCCGTCATCTGTAGGTCTTTTCCAAATACCTCAACTTTGTCTCTATCATCCTAAAGTTTCATCATACCAACTACCTGTACAATATTGAATCCCGAAGAAGTCAGGTAAAGAGAAGGTGACAGTGGCTACTTCATCCTGACCTGTTTGACAAAGGGACCCCCCAGAGGCAACAAGCGCAGATCCTTCCTAACCACACCCCCTGGATCAGATCCCCAAGCTTCCATTCCCAGTGTCCTCTTATGGTCCCCTCCCCTGTCACCTTCCTACCCCTCGATCTGTAGGTACTACTGGCTTGCTTTCTTCAGTCTCTGTCCTGGGTAGCTGTAGTTTCTTCCTCTTTGAGGTGGCGATGATAATTACAGTACTTACCCCACCTGGTTGCTGTGACTATTAAATGGTCATTAGGTGAATTCGGTCACATAAAGCTCTTAGCAGAGCTGTGTATTCCTGGTACATAGTAAAGATGCTACATTGAGAAGCAAATCGCTCCTCTGTTGCTTCCTTGAGCCAGAGGGATAAAGAACAACATTGGTAGCCAGGATACCTGAGTTGAACTACTCTGTGGACCTCGGTTTCTTCATCAGTACAATGGTGGGAGGGTGGTTGGGATAGAGGACTTCCAAGGCCCTGTCCCATGCTAACTGTCCAGGACAGGTAACCTTTGACTAGCTCAAGATACATGGAAGCTGGCTTTCTTCCCACAAGGGCCAGCAGTAACCATTGGCCTCCAATGCTGGACCCTCTTCCCAGGAACTGTCTCTGCATTTGTGTTAAATTACTTGCCCATTGGAGCCAAAACATTTTGGACATGGGGATCAGTCATGGCTTTCATAAACACATGGCTTTGCAAAAGGTCTGCTCATCATCCCACTCTGAGACTCTCAGTAGTTTGTTGGACACGTACATATGCAAAAATGGAATTGCATTGTTTGCTGACATGTGTTCCTTTTATTTGATGCACCCCGTTTTCTTCTGACTAATGCTCCTCTTCATACTGTATTTTGTTCTGATTGTTTTCTTTGTAATACCTACTTTCAGATTCTTATGTGGTCAGCCAACAAAATATTTGAAGAACTCACAGATGTTGAGCGACAGTTTCACAAAGCGCTCTACACTGTTAGAACATACCTGAACTGCGAACGATACTCCATTGGGCTGCTGGACATGACCAAGGAGAAGGTCACTCTTCCATACATTTTGTCTCCCCTACCACCACCTATAAAATGCACATCACATGAAATGCAATCCATTAAAAAATGGATACACTATGTGAACTACCGGTCATGATAGAGCATAAGAATCAGTGCCAAGAAAGTATGGTACTTTCATCTTTTATATAAAGTCATCTTAAAAATCATCAGTTATATTTTACATGGAAAAGAAGAAGGGAAAGTGTACTTTTTGGAGTGAAAAATATCTAGATTTGGTTTTTCCACTTCCTAGCTATATGTGTCTTCAACAAGTCTTTTTTTCTTTTTAAAAAATTAATTAATAGACCATATTCTTTTAGTGTACTTTTAGGTTTATAGAAAAAAATGAGCAGGAAGAGCAGAGAGTTCCCATACATGTTCTTTTCCTTCCTCTTGCCCTCCCTCTTTCTATGTGTCAGGGTAGGTGCTCTGTATTATTCATTTAATCCACATAATGACTCTGTAATATGCATTTTGTTATTGTCTCCGTTTTACAGATTAAAAAGATTGGCTTGTTTACAGTCACAAGTTCATAAACAGCATTACTGAAAAAGAGCTTTAAAATTCCAGAATTATAAATTAACATAAAATATGCAAACCAATGGCACTCATATAAGATATGGTAGGTAACAGGACAGTTTGCTTAATAGTGTTTAAATATATTTGCCTCCAGGAATTCTATGATGAGTGGCCAGTCAAGCTTGGAGAAGTCGAGCCTTACAAAGGTCCAAAGACACCAGATGGCAGAGTGAGTGCAGACATCTTTGTTGATGATATCTGTGCCTGGTTTTAGCTACCAGGAGCTAAAACCAGAGGAAGCCATGTGTAAAGGAAAGAGTGCTGGCCCAAAAAGGACTGGGCTCTAGTCCTGGGACTTCCTGGAGGATCTTGGAGAAGTAGAAAGCACTGGACAAGGAGTTTGATGTTCAAGTTTCAGCTCTGCCCCAAACCAGCTGGGTTGCCATTGTCTTCACTCATTTAACTTCTCAGTTGTCTTTTCTGTGAAGCTAGGGTTTGGTGGATCAGTGCTTCTTCATAAGGAGGGAGCATTAGAGCCTCCTGCATAGTTTTAAAAACACACTCTGCCCAGGCCCTTCTTCTGACGTTCTGGACTGGGATCTCCAGGCAAAGTTTGGCTTAGATTTACTTTCCCCTTTGATAGGTTTCATAGGAAGTTTCATAGGAAGCTTGTTCCACCACCGTATCCCCAGCATACAGGAAAGGGAAGGCAGGGGATGGAATTTGGTTCTTCATTTGCCCACAGAAGCAGACTAGTTCTCAAGTCCCTTCCAGCTTTGACAACATATTCATCGAATCCTGCTTCTTAGGCACCCATTCAGAGTGCTGGAAGGGGTAAGTGCACTGTACAGCTGGGAAGGGAAAACATTGACTGAGGTTGAGAAATTCCATGACTTGTTGTATGGAAGTGAGCAGTCAGATATGTCTGAACAATAGAAATGAAAAGAAAACCAAAGATTCTCCTAGAAGTTATTAGGGTGTATTCAACTCTCTAAGATTAGTTCAGCAGTCTTGTTCATATGATAAGTGGCCAATGATATTTCTAGTTTTATCACGAGCTTGTAAATTAGGACATGAGTAGTTTGATAATTTATGTTATGTGAAGAAATGTGATTGTGAAATAAAATATTTAAATTTCAAAATAAAAGTTCATTAAGGAAAAAGTTTTCTCTGGGAGGTGAGATTTTTCTCATAATCTCTCTCTTTCCTCTTAGGAAGTCATCTTTTATAAAATCATCGATTACATTTTACATGGAAAAGAAGAGATCAAAGTCATTCCGTGAGTATTGCCATGAAGCAGCTGCAGGAGTTGCCCTTTTATGTTTGTATCCAGTGCATTTCTTTGCATAGCAATGATGTTTTTCTTCTCATCTTCCTCAAGGACACCTCCCACGGACCACTGGACTCTCGTTAGTGGGTTGCCAACATACGTTGCTGAAAATGGATTTGTAAGTTATTGGACAAATTTGAATCTTAAATAATATTGGATGAAACTCTCATTAGCTAAGAGATAGGAACAATTGTGAAGGCAAGAATGCACCAGGTAGGGGTGAGATGGCTGCTTTGGCACAGGACACAGGAAAGAAGAATCTTGGCAGTCAGAATGTATGTGAACTAGAAACTCCTTGACTCCCCAAAAAATATTTAGTCAACACAAGAAAGACAGATCCATCTCCCAGCCTCTTATTCTGCAGCCACACAAACTTCAGACATCCTGGTAGTTCATGACTATGATTCGTGCTGGGTTTAATTTGACCTTAAATATAGTTCCCCTTGGTCATGACTTTTGAAACTCAGAAAATTACTGACAAAAAGAAAAAATATATAAGGAAAAGACTTTGCCATTGATTGCAATGCAAAATGCATTGAGTTGATAGTGGAAGTGAAGATTTTTGCCCTAGTCTCTCATGTGGGGCGGGGGTGTGGTGGGAGGGAGGAGTAGGCCAGGTCTGGCTGAGAGAGATTAGGGGTAGGAAGACAACAAACAAGAGGTCTCTGGTGGGTCCCATAGGCCTTAAGGCCCACGGACCAGTAGCTTTCCCATTTGACCTTAACCACACTCTCCTTCCTTTTCATGGCTGACTTCTCTCCCCAGTTGGGCTTCTCCACCATCTGTGTCATTTTTTTTGGCCTCAAGATACCTCCCTGCAAGAATGTTCCCTGTTTTTTACGTTTCTTTGTGTTGGCATCTTTCCTTTTCCCCCTTCAAACTCAATTTTCCAAAAAAATATTTTTATAGCATGTATTTGCATAGTTGTTTTTTCTTTAGTGTTGTCATTGTGTTCATGCATCTTCATTATTTAGTAAATGAGCATGTGAATTACAGTGACTCAGGGCTCACAGGGGAAGTAAAACAAAATTTAGGTTGTTTAATGTTTTTTTTTACTGTCACAAATTTGCCTCTGCTTAGTGTGAATATTTCTGGATTCAGAATGGTGACAGAGTAAGGAAAATTCTGTTGTGACTGCAAGGTAATCTTTCTATGTAGTGATGCTTTACCCTAGGGTTTCAGGGAGGATGCCTAACTCTGGGCTTAGTTGGTTACAGGACAAAGTGGCCTCACCAAGTGACATGATCTCTTAGTGTAGAGACATGTCAAAGGGGAAGAAAAGAAAAAGGAAAGACAATCTTATGTCTTTTAAGAGTAAACAGCGATATATACTAACAAATGTTACGAAATAATTGAATTTTTTTTTTTTGCCAAACCACACAGCTTGCCTGGATCTTAGTTCCTGATCAGAAACTGAACCTGATCCCCAACAGTGAAAGTGTGGAGTCCTAACCACTGGACTGCCAGGGAATTCCCTTTTTTTATTATATAATTGAAATATTTTTAAATGTCATTCCTGACCTGGTGGTATTGACCAAACTATTCCAATCCATTCCTAACTGAATCCACAGATACCACAATTTTTCAGCCTCACTGGAATAGCCAAGTAGCTTGGCCCTTGGCCTCTGTCCTTTGGTTTCCTGGCAGCCCATCTATCAAACTCCATTTAGGGTTTTTATCAAGTTTGGTACTCCCAAAGTTGCCACAGCTGGTTTAAAGGAATTTATGCACCACTTAAAATTTTTTTTATTGGCATATAATTGATTTACAATGTCTCTGCCAGACAGCAAAATGAATCAGTTATACTTGTACACACATCCATTTTTTGGATTCTTTTTCCATATAGGTCATTACAGAGTATTTGAGTAGAGTTCTCTGTGCTATATAGAGGGTCCCTGTTACCTATGTTATGTATGTGTGCTCAGTTGCTGTGTCGTGTCTGACTCTTTGCCATCCCATAGCCAGCCAGGCTCCTCTGTCCATGGAATTTTCCAGGCAAGAATACTAGGATGGGTTGCCATCCCTCCTCCAGGGGATCTTCCCCATCCAGGGATGGAACCCACATCTCTTGCAATTCCTGCATTAGTAGGCATTCTTTACCACAGTGCCACCCAGAAAGCCCTATTTTATACATAGTAGAATGTATATGTTAATCCCAACCCATCAATTTACTTCCACCCTGTAACCATAAGTTTGTGTTCTACATCTGTGACTCTATTTCTATTTTGTAAATAAGTTCATTTGTACCATTTAGATTCCACATATCAGCAGTATCATATAATATTTGTCTTTCTCTTTCTTATTTCACTTAGTATTATAATTTCCTGGTCCATCCATGTTGCTGCAAATGGCACTTTTATTTTGCCCCACTTTTTAAACATCTCTTCTGTCCTAGATATTTCCCAGGTAAAGATTTTATTGTCCAAAAATCAATTTGCAGAAAACTAATGCACCAAAAATCAATTCATTGAATGGTTCATTTGCCACCTCATCAGTTTGCCATGTAACCAACTTGCCAGAATCGATTCCCAAAGCTGTGGAGGATTTTTCCCTCCAGATTTTGTTTCTATCACAGATTCACTGCATTTGCTTTACTGCTTCCTTTCACCTCTCCGCTCCTGCCCTCGGCCCCACCCCTGATATTATATCCTTTCTGCTGGAAGCCCAAGACTGACGGCAAAATGGAGTAAATCTAGTGTAAGGCATTTCTCATCAAGTCCTTCATTAGACAAGTTAGCATTCCCAAAATGATTTTCAGAGAACTGACCCTGAGCCATTTTTGGAGACTCCAGAATTGGAGTGAACACACATCCTAGTTTGCATGGGACAACCTCCCTTTACACTGTTGTCCTCGTGAGTTTTTAAGTCTTCCCTTTCACTCCCAGATGTCTCCCTGTACTATATATTTCAAAAGGCAGGATCTGTTAAAAACATAATTTCTGTGTATAGAACAGGATTTCTCAAACTTGTGGACTCTACTGACATTGTGGGCTAGTTCTTTGTAGTGAGGAGCTGTCCTCTGCGTTGTAGGGTTTTTAGCAGCCTCCCTGCCCTCTGCCCATTAGATGCTAGAAGCACCACCCTACTTGTGAGAATCCAGACGTCTCAGAAGTTGCTAAATGTCCTCAGGAGGATAATATACCCCTGACTGAGAAGCACTGGTCTAGAGGATGATATCAAACATTTCAGCAGATCCAGCCAGAGCAGTGCTATTCGTGAGGGCCTCCTGTGATATGCTGGTGGGTTCTAGTAAAGAGAGCAAACAGCCATGACTCAGGATCCCTGAATGCCATGACTCAGTCCTGCTTTGGGCAAATCCCATGGCAAATCCTTGACCTTGGGCAAATTCCTTGACCTGTCTGGGTTTTAACTCATCATCTGTAAAATGAGATTGTTGACTTATTTAAAAAATGAAATACTGAAAAATCTCTCAATTCTATTTTCTGGAAAATAAAAATGATCTGGAGTTTTAATTGTAATTATGATGTTCCTCCAAATTGCTTGAAACTTTTCCATTTAGCTTTTCAAACTTTTCCCTTGATATTTTTTTTCACAAACCCCTTGTAATAAAGGCAGGCTTTTGGATGAGCTGTCCCAGAGGCCTGTCTATTGGACCTCGCTGAATTTAGGGAACATGTGCCCAGAGGTTTCATTAAACCAGTAAATCCCAGCTCTGAATGAGAAACATTAGACTTCATTTGACTGACTTTTTAGAGTTAAAAACATTAGAAAATGAAAATTAGTTTCTAGAATTACATTTGTAGAATTGAAGCAAGAAATGCAGGATCAAACCAAGTTAGAATCAAAATGATCTGTAAACTTAGAGAAATGGGGAGGGTAGAGAAGATTTTTGAATATTTGAATACTGAGTTTAAAAAAAGCTTGGCCTCAAGTGCCTTGATCCATCTATAGATATTCTCTAAAGGCCGAAAAGCCTGGACCAAAATAGATACTGCTGATGGTAAGCTCAGAAAAGAGAATTAAGCTGCTTTTTGTCTCTTTGACACACACCTGAAGGATGCTCAGCCAATCAATTCATGTTTTTTATTCAGACTAGATCATAAAATTAATGGATAGTGATTCCTTAAATTCTTAGGCTGATATACTAACAAAAGCTTTGAAAGATAGTCACATTTGCTTTGTAAGAGTCTTTGGGTAAAGAATCCTCCCGCAATGCAGGAGACACAGGAGATGAGGGTTCAGTCCTTGGGTCGGGAAGGTTCCCTGGAGAAGGAAATGACAGCCTAGTATTCTTGCCTGGAAGATTCTATGGACAGAAGAGGTTGGAGGGCTCCAGTCCATGGAGTCGCAGAGTTGGACATGACTGAGTGACTAAGCACAGCACTTTAGCTTTCTAAGAGTAAGGGGGAAAAAATGGTTGACATGGCTCAGCCACTCCCAGACAGCACTTCCCTTAGGCGGAGGGGCCGGTAGAGTTAGTACGATAGATGGAGAAGCTGGCTCCTACTTTCCATTTTCAGGAATTTGGTGAGAAACCTGTTAATCCCAGGTCAGTTTGAAACCCCCATGGTGGGTGTATTTACAACATGGAAATTGGTGAATGATGCAAATTAGGGCTCCCCACCCCCAACACCAGGAGAGGTAATTCCAACAGCACTCTCACTGGAAAGCTCAGTTCTCCTGTTATCCCATTAAAAAAAATCACTTAACCTCTTTGGGCTTCTGTTTCCCACCTTTGGAAAGAAAAGCTTAAACAATTATTAAAGTGCCTTCTAACTTTAAAATGCTATGATTTAAAGTATCTGATTTAATTTTGGTGAGAAGAAAGATACTGTGTTTTATTAAGACCCATTTGTGGGTCTGACCTGATAGAAGAATAATTCAAAATGAACAAAAATGGAGTGACTCCTTGTCCTTATGGATATGAGCAATCGTCTCTGAATTTAGTACTTAAAGCCATGTCTCGTAGTGAATATTTACTCTGGTGTACCTAAAAGGCTGTCTGGTTTTTTCCTCCAGCCCTTAACCACCACCTTCCAACCTGGATCCCACATCAAAAAAGAAAAAAAAAAGGAGAGAAAATAGAGTCTTCCCAGAATTGCTGCCACACCTGCCAGGCCTTTCTGCTAAGCTTCCTCCTCTCCCTGGTCTGAACAGCTAGTTGCTTTGAATTTGGAAGTAGATTCCTTAGAGGCAGAAAGAGTAGGGAGGGTCAGAGATGGGGCTAAACATCATCCAATGGCTTACTTAGTAGAAGAGAAGCCAACGGTTACCCACGCAGGTTCTCCGGCTCTTTAATCAATCGCAATTGGTCAGAGGCCAGAGGAGGACTTCAGGCAAGGCTTTATTGGCACTCTTGTTGCAGGCAGGAGGGAGCAAAAACAAGAAACAGGTTGCTCCCTGGGTGGGGCGAGCTGGTGCCTTAACTAGGGAGAGGTTAGGGGCGGGTTGGTGGGTTGGGCCAGAGGGTCCGCCCACCCCCTTGGCTATGCTGTGTGCCCAGGTCAGTGATTTTGCTCCCCACACCTCAGAAATGGCCACTGGTTTGTGACGTTTTTTGTATCTTACTGTTTACATTTTGCCCCAACTGGGTGTGCATGCAGTTATTTTTAGTCCCTTAGAGTTTCTCTGTATCCTGTTGCTGGAGGAGACGTTTTCTCAGACGTAAGCACTCTGGTTAAGGGCTGGTGCCCATCTGTCTCAACTTCAGTGTGTTGTTAGCTCATTTAGTCTCGCCAGGCCCGGAGTGAATAATGTGCTTGCGAGCGCTGGAGGCCTAGGGAGGAATCTTTTGCTCCCACGTCCTTTCTCCTTCTGGTCTGGGGTTAATGGCTCTGTTTGCTTTCCAGATCTGCAACATGCTGAACGCCCCAGCCGATGAATACTTCACGTTTCAGGTAACCGCCCTTTGCCGCGCCTCCCCCCACCCCTGTCAGTGCAGGGAGCTGGGGTGGCCCTGCCCCCCGCCCCCCATCCCAGAGTCTGTCTGGTGCTCAGGGGGGGGCCAAGAAGCACGCACAGGGCTTATGTCCTGCTCACCCTGGCTGGCCACCACGTAGCCCGTTCCTCAGGTGAAAAAAGAAGAAGGGGGAGAAGAGAAAGGGGGATGAGAGAAGCAGGTAGGGTGTTTGTCAGTCTGGCATTGGCAGGGGGAATGTCACGTCTCGGTTCTCTCCCATCCCTGGTCGTCTCGTGCCTAAAACAGTCTGGGCACAGCACAGGCGCTCAGTCAATGGCGCTCAGCCTGAGTGATTGGCTGAAAACATCGTACACCTGGATTCAGCCTTCCACAGGTTTCTCAGACCCTTTCCAGCGGCTTATCACTGCTGTTAGGGGGGAAAGCTTCCTGTTGGGTTCTTGGGGGCTCCCCATGCTATCAGACTCTTGGTTTTAATTTTTCCTCCTTCAACATCCAGAGGTGCCCATCCCTACCTGTCCCCTCTCTCACCCCCTCCCCACCTGACCATTGGGACAACCTGGCCTTTGGCCCTGCAGCCTCTCCTATTCTGTCTTTTAGCCCCTGCTGTTCTGTGTCCTGTTTTAACAAGCGTGTCTGGTTGGAGACCTGTCTAGTAAGGAATAGAGACAGCCTTCCCAGTGGGGACCACTAGCGGCTGTCTTCCTATCTACACAGACATGCCCACAGAGCCCCCTCTCTGCCCACACCAGGGTGAAGGCGGCCTGGGGTGGGGGGCAGAGAGTGAGGGGTGTTTCCTCAGGCCGGAAGAACCTGCGGCCACTTGCTCAGTTTCAGGGCAGGTTTCCCTCTGTTCTCTCCACTCATTCTTCTGCTCGATGACATGGAAACACGCAGACACCACACGCAGGCCACCATGCAGCTGTGAAAGAGTTAGCAGGGCCGAAGAGGATTCCTAGGACCCGTGGTGCTGGTTGGAGGAGTCTGGCGCCTCCCAGGAACTGGCCTGTGTTAGTATCCCAGGGCCAGAAGTGGAGTCTCCGGCCTAACAGTGGATTTCTGAGCCCAGCAGCCATTGGACGGTCATCCTTCCCACAATCAGAGGCCTGAGAAGTGTGTTTTTACAGGCACTCCACTGATGTTTCTTGTGGAAGCTGGGAAATTCCTATGGGCTGGAGGTTTACCCTAGGAGAGTGCCCAGCCTCCTCTGAACCATCAGAGTCCTTGTTCCAGCTCCTTCCTCCTTGTAGTTGAAGGCCTGAGTGTGACCACACTGTGCCCACCCCTGGCCCCTCTTTATGGTAGGTAATTGCATGCCAGGAAAGGGTGCGCAGGCAGGAAGAAGGGGACATGGACTCTGTAAGGTGCCTGAACTTTAAGCAGTCTTCGTCTGGACAGGGAGGGCAGGAGCTGGCCCAGAAGAACCAAGCTGTGCTCTGAGGTTTGAGGGCCTGTGCTTTCTGGTGGGCCTCATGTGGCTTCCATGGGAGCAGCCATACAAGGCTCTGATGGTTCAGAGGAAGTTGGGTACTCACCTGGGGTAAACCTCCAGCCCATAGGAATTTCCCAGCTTCCACAAGAAACATCTCAGGCCTTTGTGGGAAGGATGACCGTCCAATGGCTGCTGGGCTCAGAAATCCACTGTTAGGCCAGAGGCTCCACTTCCAGGACCTGGGATACTAACACAGGCCTGTTCCTGGGAGACACCAGAGTTCTCCGACCAGGACCATGGGTCCTAGGAATCCCCTTCAGCCCTGCAAACTCTTTCAGAACTGCGCTGTGGCCTAAGACACTCCCGCCCAGCCCTCCATCCATCCCTCTGTCCTTGGACTGGGGTCAGGACTACATCTTGGAGGGCTCTCAACCTCCCTCTCCATTTCCTCATTTTTGGATCATCCCAAAGGGCAGACTCAGGATAGGGTGCCCCTCCTCCCCAAGCCTCTACCCTGCCCGGCCTCCCCTTCTCTCTCCATCTGCTCACACCCACCTCCATTCTCAGTGGTCCCTCTTGCACCTGAGAAGTGTAATGGAAAAACCAATGATTCAAAGTGAACTATGGTCAGAGCAAACCTGCAAATGCAGTGGTTCTCAAACTATGTTCCTTGGTGGCATGAGGTATTAGCTTCCTGTTGCTGCCATAACAATGACTGCTCAGTGACTTAAAGTGACACAACTGAGTTATCTTACAGTTCTGGAGTCAGAGGTCTAATATGGGTCACACTGGGCAAAATTCAAGGTATTGTCAGGAATGATTTCCTTTCTAAGGATGTGGGGGAGAACCTGCCTCCTTGTCTTTCCCAGCTCCTAGAGGCAGCCTCGGAGAAGGAAATGGCAACCCACTGCAATATTCTTGGCTGGAGAATTCCATAGACGGAGGAGCCTGGTGGGCTGCTGTCTATGGGGTTGCACAGAGTCGGACACGACTGAAGGGATTTAGCAGCAGAGGCAGCCTTGGCCCCGTGGTGTCCTTCCACCTTTAAAACCAGCATCGCGTTGCCCTGACCTTGCCACTATTGTCATATGTCCTTCTCTGATTTTTTACCCTGACTCTCTTTTCTACTTGTAAGGATCCTTGTGATTACATTGTGTCCATTTTGTATCCTGGAAAATCCAGGATAATTTCCCTATTTTAAAATCAGCTGACTAATAACCTTAATTCCATCTGCTAGTTTAATACTCCTTCCACATAAAGTAACTTGTTCACAGATTCCAGGCATTGGCAAGTAGACATCTTTGAGGTGTTCCTTGAAGTGAAATAGGGGCTTCTTCCTTTAACATCAATTAAAGTGATCCCAATTCACAGAAGAAAAAGTACATAGAATTTTCTCAGTCTCAAGTTTTTGTCGTACTTTTCTTAAGTGTTAAGTTCCTCTGATCACTTTTCTGTGAACAAGCTCTAACTTAATAGCAAAACACATGAACATGAACAGGTAATGAATAAGTACTGAAAAACAGAGGCAGTCAGTAAAGCTTATTTTGGAAGCTTTTAAAAATATATGTACACCCAGGTGCTTATGGTTGTGAGGTTATTTTGCACACAGGTAATACTTTCTGTTATTGATTTTGTCTCTCATCTGTGTGAAGGTATAATTATATAAATGTTTCATAGTATTTTCCATAACTTAAGACTTTGAGAACGACAGTGCACTACTTTTTTCCTCCAGAACTTCGACCATTAGGAAGCATCAATTGAGGCTTGGTTTCTTTGCTTTTCATTCCAAATATAAGAGGAGCTCTTCAACTAATAAGCAGTTGTTTATTGAGCATCCCTTATATGCCCAGCACTGTCCCTTTACTTAGGTAAAATTCAACAGTTTATGGAACTGCTCTTTGGTAAGATTAGAAAATAGCCTCAGAGACAAAAACCAACGGTTCAAAGCATTTGGAAAGTACTTACATTGTATGATCCAGGCTAAATGTGCTGATGGAATTCTGAAAAAGGAAAGTTCCACGTGGGTGAAAAGCTAGAGAAGCCTTTCGGGGAGAGGCGAGACTTAACCTGCATCTCCGAGGATGAGTAAAGAAGCTGAGAGCTGGCAGAAGAAGGAGCAGTGTGGTGTGTTGGGGAGTTGGCTGTCTTTGCCTTGTTGCGTACTGTGCAGGTGCCACACGATGGTTTTCAGATTTTGGAGGACTTTAGAATCACCTGGGGAGCTTATTTAAGACACGCTCCCGGAGAATTGTGAAAAAGGCTAAAAAAGAAAAATCTGTTGCCCTTGATTCTTGGCCGACATTTTGAGAAGCACTCCTGAACTTCTGTGTGTGTGCATCCCCTAACAAACTGTTATCTCGAGGTTGGGAACTGTGACTTCTTCATCTCTGCACCTCAGCAGCTAACCCCGGTCCTGAAACATCACGGGACTTGACAGATGTTTACTAAATGGAACCACACTACAGAACAAAGGACGATCTTGGTGGATCAGTGAGGAAAACAGAAACCACATTAGGTGTTTCAACAGAATTTAAGGAATTAGCTAGATAGGTATTGGAGGACAGAAAAAGTGAACAGGGAACACTGAGGTAATAGAGGTAAATGCTTCCCATCCTAGGGCTGGGAAGGGGATCAAAGAGAAGAGGGTAGGGTTGTCACAATACAGACACTTGGTTCTAGGATACTTAGTCAAATGTACAAGAGTGCTTTTATGACTGTATACTTCTAGCCATGTTCTGTCACAGCATAGGAATTGTGCATCTAACACCCCCAAATTATTCTTTGTCTAAATTGAAAGCAACCTAAGTGGGGGATAGCAAGGGTATGGCTATAATGGGGTAGTGCAAGTGATCCCAGTAGTGATGGATTAATTCTCTCAATTCCAGGAACATTGTACATAGCTACATATGTGATGAATTTGCATAAAAACAGCCCTCCACACCCCCACACATGCACAAATACATATAAATCTGGTTAAATCTGAATAAGCTCCATTTATCATACCAATATGTATTCCCTGGTTTTGCTAGTGTACCTTAGTGGCACAAGATGATACCATGAAGAAAACTGGGTAAAGGGCACATGGGATTTTTCTGTACATTTCTCTTGCCACATCCTGTGGATATATAGTAATTTCAAAATAAAAAGTTGAAAAATAACCTGTGTCTTTTTTGCTTGTAGAAAGGACCTGTAGATGAAACTGGTTGGGTCATTAAAAATGTCTTGTCCCTGCCTATTGTCAACAAAAAAGAAGACATCGTGGGTGTAGCTACATTTTACAACAGGAAGGATGGAAAGCCTTTTGATGAATATGATGAGCACATTGCTGAGGTGAGTGCAATTATAAAATAATGGAGGGAGATGAAATTCATGAATAGAGGATGCATAATTGCTATTCTGGAAAGATGTTTCCAAAGGGTAATTAAGACGTGAGTCACACACAGTTGCTGTCAATATGTTGTTATTGTGTCATTTCTGTTTCCTGATTTCCATAAAACTGCACTGTTTTCTACCAAAGTGTGAATGTTTGACTTAATCAAAATTCTTTGCAGTACTAGGAAATTGGGGAAAAGGTTTCTCTCTCTCTTTCTCCCACTCCCCCCCTTTCCCTCCTGTCCTCCTTGCTGTCACCCCCACCCTCTCTGATTCAAGTCATGCTTTATCTGATTGGACTTTGGTCATCCCCTCCTCTAATAAAGTATTCATGGTGCATGAAGCACCTTGAAAACAAGGGCTTAGCCAATTTTATTGTCTGATGCTGACTATTAGTATTTTTTTCTTAGATTAAAACAGCTGGGTCTTTTTAATGGGGGAAGAGAGATTGATGGATAGGAAAGCATGCAGACTGTTGCCTCCAAATCAATTTTCCTTTAATTTTAGAGAATTGAATGACGTTTTATCAATTTCAGACTCTCACACAGTTTCTTGGATGGTCTCTTTTAAATACTGATACCTATGAGAAAATGAATAAGCTGGAGAACAGAAAGGACATAGCCCAAGAAATGCTCATGAACCACACCAAGGCTACGCCTGATGAAATCAAGTCTATTTTGGTAAGTGAGGAATTCAGTCCTATGGACATTAGATACTGTTTAACCATGGCTTCTGGAATTCACCTAAGTACCCAGAGGTCTGACAAAGGAGAATAAGTTTAGTCCTGGACTGAGGACGGTGATTCAGAGAAGGAGGGGTCAGGGAGAATTTGGGTGGTTCACAGTACACAGACCCTTACCCAATGTCCAGGCTGCTTGGCTGGAACAGCTCTTTGTTAAAAATAACTCTGTAGGAGCTGGAATAGTTAGGTCTAGATTGGAATATTAGCACAGAAAAAAATATTTGCAGGGAGGGAAATGTCAGCTGTTGGCCATGTAATACTGTATAACAACCATTTTCTCTCAGCTGTATGTGACAATAAGCATCTATTTCTCATGCATTTGTGGGTTGACCAGGCTTCAACAGATCTTGGTTGGGCTGTAAGCTGTGCATTTGATTGGCTCTCTGCATCTGTCATCCTTGATCAGCAGCTACCTGATAGATGTTCTTCTCATGGTGATGACAAGTGCCAGACTGCAAGCCCAGCTGTGCAAGTTCATTTCAAGTCTTCCCTCATATCACACTCACTAAAATTTTCAGTGTACAAACATGACCAAATCAACATCATGGATGATTGGGGAACCAGTAGATACTTGCTGCTGTTGCTAAGTCGCTTCAGTCATGTCCGACTCTGTGCGACCCCATAGATGGCAGCCCACCAGGCTCCGCCGTCCCTGGGATTCTCCAGGCAAGAATACTGGAGTGGGTTGCCATTTCCTTCTCTAAGATACTTGCTAGAAGTGTACTAATCACCACCAAACAAAGGGGAAATATCACACACCCATGATCTCTATTCCTTTATTTCCCTAGCTTTCAGAGTATGTGTGGTATAGTTTTCCTGGGGTGTTTTTGTTTGTTTTTGCTGGGTTGTTTGAGATGTAAAAGAAATTTAATTTGAGAATTCGATATGTTGAAGATGAAAATGTCTGGGGAGATACAGGGAAATTGCTATAAACTAATAGAAAAACAGATGTAAGCCACTCATTTTTCTCACCTATGTGTGAACTATCAATGTCTCACTCCCTCTTCTCTTTGAGACACCTGCTGTTACATTTTGGAGGATAAGAAAGATTGTTTTTTAGAGAAAATTCTACATAATCAAGTGCTATAGGCCTTTGTATGGCACTTTGTCACGGAACTCATTACAGCATGCTTTATTTTAACTGATTTTAAGAGTAAAGTAATCACATAGACATCGACTTTATAGGAATTTCACACTTCCTTTGCTTTTACATTTTAGAAATTTAAAGAGAAGTTAAATATAGATGTAATTGAAGACTGTGAAGAAAAACAGCTTGTCACAATTTTGGTAAGTGTTTTACTTCTATCCTTAATGCCTTTTAAATAAAATATGGTTCCCTGCTTTTCTTCCTCTTTGTCCCCCACAGTGCAATCCACAAAGGTAAATTAGAATCACAGCTAATCTAGACCACTGCACAGGAGAGTTCAGGCACAGACTCTAGGGGATAGCATGGCCTGGTTTATTTTAATAGCTTTGGATTACACCGTGGCCATACTTGAAGACATGGCAGAATTACAGATAGACCCTTAAAGGCACCATTATTATTTCTGCCATCTTGAGCTTCTCTTCTGGATCCTGGAGGAATTCTTTCTTTCCTCTTGTTGCCATTGGGTCACCCCTATTATATCTAGTTGAAATAACTTCTCTTCCAGTCATTAATCCTGTATTTTGTATCTACTATTTAAACTCACCCAAATTTTCTTCAGTCAACTGTTAAACCCATGAGGTTAAGTTTTTAATTTCAGAGCTTCTCTTGTTCAGTTCTAGGATGTATATTTAACTTTTTTTTTTTTCAAAGATTTCAACTCTATGCTGAAACTTTGTCATTTTATCTACTTTCTCTCTCTTTTCGTCAATCTTCTTAAATTTATTCATCATAATGATTTTAAATTCTCAATACCTGAATCACCTATATATCTGGTTCTACTGTCTATTTTTACTCTTGAGTTTTCAGTTCAGTCGCTCAGTTGTGCCCAACTCTTTGCAACCCCATGAACCGCAGCACGCCAGGCCTCCCTGTCCATCACCAGCTCCCGGAATTTACTCAGACTCATGTCCATCGAGTCGGTGATGCCATCCAACCATCTCAACCTCTGTCACCCCCCCTTCTCCTGCCCTCAATCTTTCCCAGCATCAGGGTCTTTTCAAGTGAGTCAGCTCTTTGCATCAGGTGACCAAAGTATTGGAGTTTCAGCTTCAACATCAGTCCTTCCAGTGAACACCCAGGACTGATCTCCTTTAGGATAGACTGGTTGGAGCTCCTTGCAGTCCAAGGGACTCTCAAGAGTCTTCTCCAACACCACAGTTCAAAACCATCAATTCTTCGGCACTGAGCTTTCTTTATAGTCCATCTCTCACATCCATACATGATTACTGGAAAAACCATAGCCTTGAGTTTTAGTCATTTGATCATTTTAAGGCATACTTCATAATTTTTTCATTGAGAACCAGACATTGTGGATAAAAACTTGGAGGGGCCCTGGGTGATGTTATCTTTCTCTTCAGAGGGTTAAGTTTTCTTCTGGCAGGTAAAGGAGCTGGCTTTAGAGTTTGTTAGGGATGGTCTGTCTTAAGTTTGCCCTTGCTACTCGGGTAGAATCTTTATTTCTAGAGGGTGGCCCTCTGGGATCCCAACTAAAAGCCTGGGATATTTACCAAGGCCCCTATACCTTTGAATTTCAGAGGCTTGAATACAATCTTTTTGAAACTGAAGTAATGCCACATTTGTTTCCCTCCCTAACTACCCTATCCTGTTTTCCACAGCCCCTTTCCGATCTGTGTTCTTTTTCCCTGAGCTAAGATATACTGAATATCTCACCTTCCCCATCCCCATCTTTTATGAGCTCTGTCTTCCCATCCTGGCCCTTGGCTGTTACCACCACAGAGCCAGTGGCCTTTGACCTCTATGTCTTGACACCTTGCACAGTCTCGTGTTACCTGACGCTCTTCCTCCTCCTCCTCTCTCTTTGACTTGACTTCTGAGCACTTTCCTCTCACGTGTAGTCCAGAAGATGACCTTTCCTTCTGCTGACAAAACTCATCTTCTTTGTAAAACAAAGCTTTAATTGATATTCATGACATGTTAGAAATTTTCTAGTTCTCTGTTTAGAGGAGGGAAGGGCCTTATGATGGAAAAGCACTAAAATGGGCAAAGAATCAGTAGCTTTACAACAAAATGGCTTATTTTGAATATAAGATATGTTCTAAAGCTCATCCTAAATCATTGCTGCCTGTAACAAGAAACAAACACATATTTCAGAGGGGTTCTCTGAAACTATCTTGGCATAATTTCCAAGTGGCATAAATATATATATGTATCTTTGCTACCCCATGTACTATACAGTCCATGGAATTCTCCAGGCCAGAATATTGGATTGGGTAGCCTTTCCCCTCTCCAGGGTATCCTCCCAACCCAGGGACTGAATCCAGGTCTCCCGCATTGCAGGCAGATTCTTTACCAGCTGAGCCACAAGGGAAGCCCAAGAATACTGGAGTGGGTATCCTATCCCTTCTCCAGCAGATCTTCCCAACTCAGGAATTGATCTGGGGTCTCCTGCATTGCAGGTGGATTCTTTACCAGCTGAGCTATCAGGGAAGCCCAACTTGAGAAACAAACATGTATTTCAGAGGGGTATTCTCAAACTATCTCGGCATAATTTCCAAGTGGCATAAATATATATGCATCTTCACTTACCATGATTTCCTCCAGGGATGCACTTTAATTCTTGGTTCAGGGAAGGCGTGGCCCTCTTTTATCGGTGTAACAGCAGGTGCGGGTGGCTGTGTTGGTAAGGACTGGGGAAGCAGCACTGCTACTCGGGCAGAAGAAGTGGGGAAAGTTGTCTCCCTTCTTCCCCCTGCTGCCTGAGACTTTTCAGGTCACTCACAGATGCCCTGCAGCTCCTGTTTACCAGACCGTAGAAGATGTAGAGAGAACATCCCACTTCATTGAGTTTTTTTTTTTTTATTCATTCACTAATTATTGAGATGCACTATGATACAAGAAACTGTTAAGTCCCAAGGGCAAAAGATAATGTGGTCTGGTTCTTACCTGGCTCAAGAAACTCCTTGTTTATTAGACAAAAAGTACAAGCAATGACACTGAATGGATGGGTTCATAGGGCTTGAGCACCACGGACCCTGGGGAGGCCAAGGGCCTGATTCTCCTCACAGAAGATGATAGAGTGTGAGATGAAGGCCATGGCGTGTAGGCCTGAAGGGGAAATAGGAGCTGGCTGGGCAGAGAGTGATGATGGCAGCTTGGAGATGAGAAGGGAAAGCAGGACAGTCCAGGCCAGGGTAGGGGGACACAGTACATTAGGGAGACCAAAGCCAGCTGGTGTGGCCAGAGCCCCAGCGAGTGGAGAGGCGAGCAGCCCGTGAGGCCTGGTGGGGAGATGGGGCAAGACCATGCAAGGCAGCCTGGCACACTGGGACCCGGGACGTGGCCCGGTCAGGTGGTCAGGGGTCTCTCTGGAGCAGAGGGGGCGAGCTAGCCTGGATGCAGGAGGCCGGCGGGGCCGTGTTACACACACACAGTTACAGAGAGGGTGGCTTCCCTCAGTCTCTTGTGCTCTCCACCTCTCATGCTCAATCTCAGCTGTGGGTTCCATCAAAGAGAAAACCAGCCTTTGCAGCTTGAGTTCCTACTTCTCAGACCACGCAAACGCCTTTATTTCTATCAACCTCTCTGTATTACTGTTGTATGACTGCTGTTCTTCAAAACCTGTGATTTCTGTATTATAGTATTATTATATTGGTTTGCCTATAACTGCAATTTGGGCTTGGGAGTCATAATTCTGAGAATGTCTTTGTTTCCTGCTAAAAATGCACACTTACACGTTAGTGTGACTGACCCTGTAATGCTTTAAAAAATGTTTTCACATTTGATCTTTACATAATACTCTGAGAACAGCAGGGCAGAGGGACATCCAGCAGGGAGGTTCTGTGGCATGGGGCACCCCTCACCGCACCCCATAGTGGTCTGATTTTTACGTGTGCTTATTTTCCATTTCTCCCCACAAGAATGTGCATTTCAGTGAGTAGTGACATTGTTTTATCTGTAATGCCTACAACACAAATAGGAACCAATAAATGTCTGTTGAATGATTTAAATGAACAAAAGGCATAAAGAGCCCCCATGGGCAAGGAATCTGGGAGTTCTGGACAGAGAGAAAGTAATGAGAAGAAGGAACAGTGGAGGACGTGAGAGGCCCTGTGAGGAAGGAGCTTTGGGAAGTGTTACTAGGGGCTTCCCTTGTGGCTCAGCTGGTAAAGAATCTGCCTGCATTGCAGGAGACCTGGGTTCACTCCCTGGGTTGGGAAGATCCCCTCGCAAAGGGAAAGGCTACCCACTCCAGTATTCTGGTCTGGAGAATTCCATGGACTGTATAGTCCATGGGCTCACTAAGAATCAGACATGACTGAGTGACTTTCACTTTCCCTAGGGGTCGTGTGATGAATCCCCTCTAATTGTCTTTGACACATGAGAATAAAATTGGTACTGCTTTTTCATTAAAACAACAGACAAAAATGTTACTATTGTCACCCGCATTTCACAGATGAGAACACTGGTGTAGCTAACCCCAACCCAGAACTGAACACTAGTTTCCTGGCTCAAAACCATTGCTTTGCAGGAGAGAGATCTCTGCCCAAAGTGACCGTCTAAGAGTGGCCTTGGGGAGAAGGGGTTCTTCTTCCTTGAGAATCAGGAAGACCCTGAAAAGAAAGGCAAGGGTGTGAGGGCCAGCTCTGACTTGGGGGTTAGGTGAACAGATACCATAATTGTATTTAAAAGAGCCGTATTCCATTATGTGTTGAAATTTGTACAAATAGAACATGGATCATCCTCTGGGCCAAGCCTGAACTTTCTGAGGGATGTGACCTTAGCACAGTATTAAGGGTTTACTATGGGCTCCGTGAACACCCACTGAACTGAACTGCTCCTGCACGTCTGTCTGCTGGGCCACACAGCTGACTGTGTGATGCTTGCTTGCTTTCTTCTTTCCTCGCCTGCTTCTTTCTTCTTGTGGGGTTGTCTCTGCCCTGCTGTCTATCACATCAGCCCTCCAGAATCTCACCTTTCACTGTCTGTATTTTTAACCATTTCAATAAGTTAAGTCCTTAAAGGCAAGATCCACATTTTTGTTTCCCAAGCCATGTCCATGTGACTAGTTCAAATGTTTTTTCACCTAGTCCTAAATCCTGACAAGGGGTGGGTTAAATGAAATGTCTGCGTGTGTACCAGGACACTGGGGGGGCATTCATTCATTCATTCAATGAACATTAACCAGCATCTCTGTGGGACAAGCTCTCAGGTTCTGTTACCACAGCAGGTAACACACCATGATCCCATCCTTAGGGAACCCACAGACTAGTGGGAAAGCTTCACTGAATAGGTAAAGAAAATACGATAGGACTGAATCAAGCCATCATTTACTAAATATTTCTAGAAGAGGAAAAAAGAGAAGTTGGGTATTGAAAATGGGTTAGGCTGCTGTAATTCAACATTTTATTTTGCATCAGAGAAAGAAAGTAGCCTCTGGGGTCTGCTTTGGAATTGAATGCAGTCACTTAGAAAGCTTCTCAGGATAATTGAGCCTCAGTTTAACCATCTGGAAACTGAGGGGCATTGTGCAGGTTTGTTGTGAGGATAATAGGGGCATAACCCAGTACTGGGTATGTAGAGGCTCAGGGGAGTGCATGTGGCATCACTGCATTGTAATTTTGTGTATGACTAAAGGGATAAAAAAGAATATAAACTGGAACCTTTGTTCCTTGTTTCAACAGAAGGAGGACCTGCCGGACCCACGGACCGCAGACCTGTATGAATTCCGCTTCAGCGACTTGCCCATCACAGAGCACGAACTGATTAAGTGTGGACTTCGGCTGTTTTTTGAAATAAACGTGGTGGAGAAATTCAAAGTACCCGTAGAGGTTAGATGGTATTTCATTTAAAATATAGTGTGATTCTGTGGCAGTTCTCCACTGCGTAAAAATTACCCGTGGTTCAAAAAGATTCCCTGCAGGGTGGATCTTAAATTATCATTAACTTTGTCAATATATCCGCTTAAACCCTGTAAACAAGGCCATCCTATCTTTTCAGATAAGGTTGTCACAGACCTTCTAACCTTTAGAATTCGGTTCCAAAGTCTGAGTGGTGTTGTCTTCTTTGGCGGCAGGTTCTCACCAGATGGATGTACACGGTGAGGAAGGGGTACCGGGCCGTCACGTACCACAACTGGAGACATGGGTTTAATGTGGGGCAGACCATGTTCACCTTGCTGATGGTAGGTATGGAGCGCAGCAACTGGTGAAAACCTGCGTGCCTCCCTCCTGAATGTGCTGAGAATAGATACAGGCTATCACTTTAGATCTGTAATTTTGTAATTCATGGATACAATCCCATAAATCCCCAAATCCTCTGGAGATGATGCTAGGGCATGTGGGTATCCCTGGGCGCTTGACTGGATTATAACTCTGACACTCATGTACTTAGGTCTTTAAAGGAAAAAAATTCAGTTCCCTGCTAGGTTTGTAACTGCCCAGAATGAGCTACAAGAAATAAAACCAGTTTGGGACTTCCCTGGTGGTTCAGTGGTAAAGACTGCATGCTTCCAATGCAACGGGTCAAGGTTTGATCCCTGATCAGGGAACTAAGATCCCATATGCCACGTGGTGTGACCAAAAAAGAAAGAAAGTCAGCTGCTCTAAAAACACAGCAGACCCCCTTCTCCATCAGAGGCAAGCCTCACTGCACATGCTGCATAGTGTATTAATGTAAGTGAATATATGCCTGTTTTCTTTTAGACAGGAAGACTGAAGAAATACTACACAGACCTTGAAGCCTTTGCCATGCTTGCTGCTGCCTTCTGCCATGACATTGACCACAGAGGCACCAATAATTTGTATCAGATGAAGTAAGTGAACATACGCTGCCATATCGATAGTTCTGGTGCCCCTGCCTTATTTGTAAATGCCTTCACTCTTTTTTCAACTTTGTTTCATTAAAGTATTGAATTCATACCTGTAGGTGCATTGATCTTCGACTTGCAGTTGTACGCCCTTGGGTGACACCCCCAACTCAAGCTAGAGAACATTTCTTCCTGGGTTCGCTACCTCTCATGTCCCTCGGCCTTGTGCCTCCTCCAGCTGACCTTGCATCTTAACATCATCACCACCTTCCCCTCTTGCCCAAGAAGTGCAGCCTCTCAGCTCAGACAGATTTGTATTCACTGAGTTCACAAATTATTTAAACTTTCTAAGCTTTGAGTTCCTCATTGGGAAAATAAGAATTGTAATAATGCTACCTAATACTTAAAGTCACTGTAAAGATTAAATAAGGCTATACATACAAAGTAGTCCGCTCACGGTTGGTGCTTGGTGGTTAATAATTATCAGGTATTACTATTATTACTGTTATTATGTCATCGGCACTTTCAAAATTCGTCAGCAGTGCCATGGCCAACCTAGCTCCTTGATAGGACATTTAAGAAGCTCTACCTGCCTTGGCCGCACTATATCCTCATCTCCTACACATAACCCACTACCCTACAAGGTACCAGAGGAAGTGAGACATTTTAGAGAGAATGAGCTTTGGGATCTGGGTCTGTGGGATCCAGACACTTCCTGGTTGAGTGATCTTGGGTAAATCACTTAATGTATTTGAGATTCAGTTTCTTAACTGTTAAATGGGTACAATTTTGACCTCTCAAAGACTGCTGTGAGAATCACGTGAAATTGTATGTCTGAAATTACATAGTAGATGCTCAAGAAATTTACTCAATGAAGTAAGCAGGGACTTTTCACCTTCAGCAACTCTACCAATCAGGCTTTGCTCTGAAGAGGGGATTCCCAGTCTGGTTTTGGGCAAGCCACATCTTCCTCTAAGAGCTCCAGTTCCGCATTCCTGAATGCAGGTTTCCTGACAATGACTGAGCTCCCTTCCGCCCTCCTAACTGCTTCAACCAATTCAGTTTCAAAGGAATGAATGTTTATTGAGCACTTGTTTACTGGGAGACCAGCTGAGAACTTGATACCTATGGCCTTTTTGAATCCTTGTAGCCCTCCCACATGGGAGGTACTACTATTCCCCTCTTACTGATGAAGAAACAAGTCCCAGTCAAATCTAACTTGCCATAGATAAAAAGAGAGTAGCCAAATGGGATGTGGCATCTCGTCTCCAGGTTTGCAGAAAAGATGAGACCACATCCCAGACTTCTGCCTTGGCCTGGTGTTGGGAGACCGCGTGAGTCCCATCAGCGATGGGCGAGCTGACCACCTTCCTCTTCTGTGAGAGAAACTTTGTAGTTCAAGCAATTAAATCATTTTATGCATTTGACAAATTAGGGTTTTTCTTAAAAAGATTTTTTTTTAAAAGAACATATTCTTCTGTTCTAAATCTAAAAATTCTTTTCCAATATGTTACTTTCAACTGTTTCACAGTCATTAGGAGAGAGGGAAGAAATGAAAAAAAAAATCCTCAGATTGCAAAGATTCTGTGTTGTGTGATCTTATGTGTCATCTTTAAATAGCTAAAATGACCCTTTTCCTCCTAGGTCCACTTCTCCGCTAGCAAGGCTTCACGGCTCTTCCATCTTGGAGAGGCACCACCTGGAGTACAGTAAGACGCTCCTGCAGGATGAGGTACATGGGTGTCTCTCTAGGGCAGCTCACAAGCTCTGGATCAAAGCGCTAACCCACAGAAAATGCTTAGAAAGAGGATGATCCTGAATGCTGGTGGCTGACAGTGTATATACCCTTATTGAAGTCAATTGATAGAAATTGATATATTGCGATAGTTTTTGAACAATCAAATTGGAAGTAGCTGAGATAGAGGAGGAAAGAGCTATGAAAAGTCACAGAATCTCTGTGGGTCTGTAGAGTAAGAAGAAAAAGTTCATGATGAATATGAGAGGGCTCTGTGTACCTTCGGTATGTATGAATGTAAAAAGAGGAGGCTACAGAGCCACTGCTTTTCTTATTCATAGGGCAGGTACTGTTAAGGTATTGTCTGTATCTTTGAGAGAGTCAGGTGTTGGTAGTTTGGGGGTAGGCATGAAAATCAGGCTGTAAGATCAGGCAGCTGCCATCAGAGGCACTGAGTGAATGAGGGACATGTCCTATTCAGGAGTGGGTGGGGCATAGGAGAGAAGAGGCCTGGGATCAGGGAACTTTTCACAGGAAGTGGCTTAAGCTTGGTCCTGAATTCATTGTGATTTATACAATATCATGTACTACTAACTTTCAATAAAAAGATTCTTCTTTTTATCGATTTTATTTAAAGAGTATATAGGCTTGTTGGGAAAGTTTTGAATATAACCTAGTTATGCTTGAGAACAAATCTGAGAAGATTCTAACCCAGAATGAATCATTGTTAGATTGAAGGGAACATTCTTCTGTCTGCACAGAGAAATTGTCTAGAATCACACAAACTCATTAGGATAAATAAGCCCTCGGGACAGTGGAGCTTTTTTCACTTTTGATAGTAATCATTTATTAAAGGCTCAGGGGAAGGGGTACAAGGAAATATGTCCAAGTTTCGAGATAATATTACATTCTTCTAGGTAATCAAAAGCCAAGTGGGAAAATTTGTAAGGGCAATTAGGCAGAAAAGTAGAAAAAGAAAACAGACATATGATTTAAATGTTTTTAATAGCCTGTGATTGATGCAGCATCCAGACAGGGAGACACAGACCAACTGCACTGAATTATCGATTTCACAGGGCAGAGGTGGGCAGCCGGTTAAAAACACATCCTGGGCTTCATCTCCCACTTACCAGGCTCCCTGGGTATTGGACCTAGGAATCTGATTTTTAATAAGAATTTTCATAACTCTCGTGTAGCTAGGACCTGTTCCTGCAGTAGTATCATAAAAAGAATGAAGATATCTATTCTATGAGAGTTGGAAAAAATAGAATTGAAAGTATTTCATGAATATAATAGTGACTTGTTACCTACCCAATTTGTTAAGGGTCTTGCTTTACTGGTTGGGATGGTTTTATATTTTTGAGTAAGGATCTTCCATATATCCAGCTGATTACATATACCACAGGCAGGTAGTATCAAAAATAATTTATTTAATTTTACGTTTACCTACTAATGCAAAATATATTCTAAAACCTTTATAGCCAAATGTTTAAATGCTTAACTTTGGAAGGGCTCCTAGTAGCTCATATGTTTTTACTTTCTGGGATTTGAGAGTTTAAAATAGAGTTGTTGTTTCCCATCTTAATTTTTTAATGTTATTTACTCTGTAGTCTGAACTGGTTTTCATGGCTAGATAAAGGCTTATTCTTTTTAAAAAGGAATAGTGCATCCTAGTAATTCATGCCACCTTGGCAAGGACCTATCTACAATGCTATTTGACCTGCTAATTGCAGACTTTTAGGGTTGTAAATAGAGTCACTAGGCAATAAATGCAATCACAGAGCTTTTTATGAGCAGGCAAACTGAATGCTGAAAAAATGAAATTTTAACATCAGATGTTGTTTTCACATTTTTGGAAGACAGTACAGTTCTTCTATTTATTTATTGTATAGAGGAAATATTTATATTTAAAACTTTAATTTTTTTACATAAGGCAAATCCTTATCTAGCAATTTTGCCATGTTGTAGGCATTACTCATTGTGTTTTGTATATTATCAAGCTTTATGTCCTAGGAGAGTTGGATTCCCTGCTTTGAGGACAGAACTGTCTGTATTCTAAACTAGTCAGAAATCCACCCTTTAACCTAATGATTAGGGGTTAAAACCCTTGTTAGCCAAATTTCTCAGAATATAAACTTTAATACAACAATGTACTGTCAGAATGACAAAATGCATTATTTAGAATAAATAACAGAATACTTTTATTATTCAGAACACTTCTTCATAAAATTTATAACTTTATGCCTTTTCATACTGACTTCATGTTATACAAAGAAGGAATGAAGAAGAAATTAAGTATCTTGTGTATGATCACCAGCCAGCCACAAACATGTTGCAGTCTTCCCTTGGGGTGTAGCATGTACCACATTGAAGACTAGAACTCACCTTCCTGAGAGTCCTCATCAAGATGAATTGGAGCCATTTCTATTTTGGTGTGCTACACCGAATTTAGATATGTAGTGCCATTTTCATAGCAATAAGAGAACAAAAATGGCCTGTTAATGGTAGAGAGCAACATTAGACTCTGTGGGCAGGTGAGCCCTGCTGAACAGGTGGGGGCCCAGTTGGAGTGGGGCTGGCTGGGATGGAGGCCTCCTCTCTCGTTCTGTGTACCTGTCTCTACATAACATTTCCAGCACAATTCCCTGGAAGCACAAATGGAATATTATAGACTCATATATAGATATCTTAAATTAATGACAGTAGTGGTTGTAAAAATTACATGCATATACCTGCTATGAAAATTCAAGCAATAGGAAACATTCTAAAGATAAATATTTAAAAATTGCTTTAAATCCTACCACTCAGAAATAGGACATTTCATTAACATTTAATGAACTTCATTGTAGCCCACTGTGACTATATATAGGCAGGATGGTTAGAAACAATGTTAGAAAAATGGGATCTCACTATTGGAACTATTTTTGTTGTTGTTGTTAGAGTTATTTATTTAACTGAGTTTATTAAAGTGTAATGTTTGAACAATAAGCAGCATCCCTAAATTCTATGAATTCTATCCCTACACTTGGATAGATTTTATCCCAACACACTCAGGATACAGAACACTTCAGTCATCTCCTTTGGGATGACAAAGGAGACTGCTCCCTGGTACTCTATCGCTGGATACAGAACACTTCAGTTCTGTAGTCTATGCTAGCAGTCCCCCGGTAGTCGATGCTTGTCTCCCCTCCCAGCCCAAAGCAAGCAATAAAATGTTTTTAGTCACTACAGATTAGTTTGAATCTTTTAGATTTTTATATAAATGCAGTCATCCAATAATTACTCTTTTGTGACGATGACTTTCATTCAGAACAATAATTTTGTGATTTGTTAATTTTGAGCGAATGAGTCAGCAATGATTCATTACTTTTCACTGCTGAGTGGCCTTGCATTTATCTTAAATGAAGATTTTAATTTTACTTCAGTTTAATGGAAGAAACATTTTTTAAGGGAAGGAATAGAACTTCAGAGAACTGTGTCCTTAATCACAAGAGATATTAGTTCTTAGAGGACACTAAAATCAATCAATAACTAGTGGTTATGTGTTACCTTTTCACCATCTCTGAACTCCCTGCTGTAAAACATGAGAAATTCGAATACTTACACTGCTTCCCACATCTCTACTTCTGTTTTGTAAGCTATTATCAGTATTTTTTTTATTGCTATCAGGATTTATAAAATTAACTTATAATTTCCTTAAGTGTCTTTTTTTTTAAACCAGAGCATTTATTGCATGACTAATGGTCGAAATCCTTAAGATGAACTGGATGCTGCCCCAGCGGCTCTCTTGGGTTAGGTGTTCTCCCAGAATCCACGCCTGAGTCTTCCGTGTACCATTTGTAGGTGCCTTGCTCACCTGGCCTAGGTGGTGTTCCAACTGTAGCCTTGGCAACTCAAGTCACATTTCCTCTTCTGCCTGGCAGTGTTGCCACAGTGGTCATAGGTCGGCTTCTGAAGGTCGGAGGCCTTGGAACCACAGTCTTACTTCCAGATGACAGTGTTCCCTTTGTCATCTCTCTTCTATGGTTAAGACCAAAGAGGCACAATTGTTTATTCCAACTTCTACTTTTCTACGGGCCTGATACGTAGCCTCAGACTTTTTTTTAATGTTTTATTTTTTTTTCCATTTATTTTTATTAGTTGGATGCTAATTACAATATTGTAGTGGTTTTTGTCATACGTTGACATGAATCAGCCATGGATTTACATGTATTCCCCATGCCGATCCCCCCTCCCACCTCCCTCTCCACCTGATTCCTCTGGGTCTTCCCAGTGCACCAGGCCCGAGCACTTGTCTCATGCATCCAGCCTGGGCTGGTGATCTGTTTCACCCTAGATAATATACATATTTCGATGCTGTTCTCTCAAAACATCCCACCCTCGCCTTCTCCCACAAAGTCCAAAATTCTGTTCTGTACATCTGTGTCTGTTTTGCATATAGGATTATCGTTACCATCTTTCTAAATTCCATATATATGTGTTAGTATACTGTATTGGTCTTTATCTTTCTGGCTTACTTCACTCTGTATAATGGGCTCCAGTTTCATCCATCTCATTAGAACTGATTCAAATGAATTCTTTTTAACGGCTGAGTAATATTCCATGGTGTATATGTACCACAGCTTCCTTATCCATTCGTCTGCTGATGGACAACTACATTGCTTCCATGTCCTGGCTATTATAAACAGTACTGCGATGAACACTGGGGTCTCTTTCAGGTCTGGTTTCCTCGGTGTGTATGCCCAGAAGTGGGATTGCTGGGTCATATGGCAGTTCTAATTCCAGTTTTTTAAGAAATCTCCACACTGTTCTCCATAGTGGCTGTACTAGTTTGCATTCCCACCAACAGTGTAAGAGGGTTCCCTTTTCTCCACACCCTTTCCAGCATTTATTGCTTGTAGACTTTGGATAGCAGCCATCCTGACTGGCGTGTAATGGTACCTCACTGTGGTTTTGATTTGCATTTCTCTGATAATGAGTGATGTTGAGCATCTTTT